GGATGACTTCCCTCTCCAGCTTCATGATAGAGAGATATCTCTGCTTACTCTCAGCTGCTGGACTGTCTCAGGGGGAGGGAACAAGTGAAATGGAGGGAAATTGCCCATTTTCATTTCTGTTCAATTCAAGCAGAGAGTTTTCAAGCTGGAATGTTTGTTTTTTTGGTTCCCCAAATTGTTTGGGGCGATTTGGGGAACCAAAGAAGCCAATCATGCATTAATTAAGAGGAGAGCTGAGCTGCCTGTAAGAGATGACAGCCAGCTCTGAAGGTGCTCCTCTCTTTAGGAGGAGACAAGCTGTGGATCACATAACAGGCACAGGGTGTGTGTTTAAATGGAAAACACGGAAAGAGTAGAGCGACACCGTGTTCTAAGTGTAGGCAGTATTGGGCTGAGTTTTCAGCGCGTGTGGTACTGGTTTGTGATGTAAAGTGTGTCCTATCATAGGTCATAGCCAAAAAAAATGGGCATCTGCCCTGCCCCATAATGACTCTGGGGAGACATTCTGAGTTCCTGTATGTCTGAGACCCTCCCCAGTGTGTGAGTGACACGAGCCACAGCTCAGTGAGGTCGGCACGCAGTTGGCAAGAACCCATGAAATTGATTTCCTTGCCAGGCTCGCTGCCCCGCAGCCCAGGGTTAATCTGTTTAAATGAAGATGGAGCAGGCAGGTGAAAGACATTGATGCCCATGATAAGATTAAATTAGTGGGAGCTCGCAAGAAGGCATGCTCCTTTTTGGAAGTGATAGTGGAGAGATGAGGGAATATCAAATTACAAAAATTGGAGGAGGACCCTGATTGGAAAGAAGGATCCAGACGCAGGAAATGTGGGGTCTGGTGGGAAGGCTGCTGTGGTAATAGAATCAGGATATTACTGATGTGTGGGGCAGGCCCCTCTGGGAAGACGACCTAGCTCATCAGAAGAGTGGCTGATCATGCCTTCTGGTAATGCCTGAACTGGAAAAAAGAACCACAAAATAAAACAAATCAAAACAAAAACTAGAAATCAACTAATGAGCCTTCTGAGAAGGTCGCTCTACAGCCAGGCAGGAACCTGGTGGCAGGTGACTAGGCCCTCTATGGCAGTGCCACCATGCTGCTGCTCGCCATGGAGTGTGGTGTCAACTGCTTCATGCTGGATCCGGTGTGAGACCAGGCAGGGGCTGGCCTTGGCTGGTGGCTGTGCATCTGCACCAAACCTGGGATTAAGTTCTCATCTATGTACCAGGGACTGGAATTTTTGCCCTGAGATGTCAAAATGGGACAGTCTGTGTCAGCTCTTGCAACTTTCTCTTGGCAGAAGAAAATCCAGATAATAAAGTCAACCAGATGAATGACTGAAGGGCAATGAGGCATTTTCCTCTGCACAGGCACCTGGTCCCAGGTGGTATAAAGTGCAGTTCTGCTACCCAGGTACCCTTATCTCGGTATCTCTCTAAAGGGATACAAAGTAGTGACTATGAAGAGGAGAAATGGCTGACGGTAGAGCTGGCTCTGTATGGCAATAGCTGATTTTGTCACACCTTTCCTTAAAATGCGCAGACACGTGCTGTTTTCTGAGGATGAAGCTCAAATGTTGTTCCCATGATGCTGGAATTCCTGAGAGCTGGGGCTGCAAGCTCTCTCTCCCTCTGAATCCTCTCCTGTCACTGTCCCTAGATTCTCCTCCCTCCTCCACCCTGCACACACTCTTTCTAGTCCTACGGGCCCCTCCTCCAAGCCCACAGACAACAGCACTCCCCTCTCCATGTTGCTAAGGCTTGGCTTGGGCGGTGTCCTCTCCCTAGCTTGGCAGAAATCATTCTGCACCTTTACAGTGCTACTAAATGGCACAATTTTTGTGAGGCCTGCCCCGACCCCAGAGCCAGGGTCGACCACATTCTTCTCAGGGGTTCCGTGGGTGATGTGACCTCTTGTGAGCTATCTCTGTTGTTCTACTTTCTGCTTCACACTTCTTAGCACAGCCCCAAGCACAGTGAATGGCCAGAGAATCAAACACACACAGGGGACACAAGAGGAACTCACCTTCTTTATTTTCTGCAACTCTGGTCACTGCTGTTCTTAACCTGAGCAGGATAACTCAGCTGCCTATGGCGCCCGGTACGTGGGTTCCATGGTGGCCGATGTTCACTGCACTCTGGTCTATGGCGGGATCTTTCTGTACCCAGCTAACAAGAAGAGCCCCAATGAAAAGGTAAGCCCATGGCCTGGAGAGTGACTTACAAGCAGCAGATTGCATTTCCAGCCTGAGGGATTTGATTTAGGAAGAAAGAAAGGTTATGGTAGCTGTTAAGCTCTAGTAAGTTGCTAAGGATGTCGGTGGCATGTTCTTTTCTAGATTAAAGGTAAAGTTATGTGATACCAACTAAACATAAAAACGGTCTCATGAGAGTCCTTCCAGTGCTATGGGAAAGAGAATTAACGCTCAGGAGGGGGACTAAGCATCCAGAAAGCTTCCAGTGGGTATGTGGTTTGGCTTGGGTAAGGTGAATTCCATTCACAAAGGGAAACAAAGCAGCCCGGTCTCATTTCCAAGGCAGCGAATCCAATACGTATCCCAAATAGGAGTCCTCTTTGGTTGCTTTCAAAAAGCATAAAGAAATGCTTTTTCTTTCTTTTTCTTTTCTTATGCTAAAGAAAAGCATAAAGAAATGACTAATGGGTTGACATTTGCTACTTGGGAAATGATCCCTTTTAGGGAAGGAAGGAATCTCTGGGTAAACCTATAGCTTTCAGGTGAGCTGTTACCACTGACCACATAGCCCCAAGGCTGACAGTGTCCCCAGGGTGGGCCCTGCTGTCTCACACTGGGTAAGAAGCACCTGCTCTCCTCCCCCCAGGGTGGCATGTGCCCCTGAGTACTGTGTCTAGTTTATTTTCACCTTTCTTTTTTTAAACATGAGAGAAGGAAATTTCTCATTGCCATACACTCATTCGCCTGGTTGACTTTATCATTTGGCTTTTCTCCTGCCAAGAGAAAGTGGCAAGAGCTGACACAGACAGTCCCGTACTCTCCTTAAGATAGTTAGACATCTACATACTTGGATATGGTGAGAGCTGTTTGCTGCACATGGGGTCCTGTCTGCTGAAGGCACCCTTACCTACCTAGAATGCTGCTTCTGCCGCAGCCACCTCACGCACCCAGCCTACCAGATTAGCCTGCCTTCCAGCACCTTTCTCAATGCCTCCAAACATTGTTCCTGAACACAAATATTAAGGCTCCTCCTTTATTCCCTCCAGTTTTTCCGATCTGGCCATGACACCTACATGAAAATAGAGTCAGGAAACACCTGCAAAAAGCTGTTGCTCAGTAGGACGGCTGTATGAAAATGCATCACGGTAAAAAGTTAATATTTAACGTAACTGCCAAGATGTATAGCATACAAAATTCCAGCCCTCGGGCCTTAGGAGAGTTGTAAAGGGAATGCACACAGGGCTGCACACAATATTACACTGTTTGGAGGAGCCAGTCTGCCCTCCAGATGTCTGCAGCCAGACACTACCATGGATTTTTCTGATGCTTTTAGAATAGGCTAAACTCCATCCAAAACACATACGCAGTCACTCATTAAGTCCAGTTTCCATGCTATAAAGAGAAAGGACTCATCAGTTCTGCCAAAATGTCATTCTGTCCTGTGTCCAGGTGGTCTGTCTCGAATTTGCATCAGGTAATCTACTGCAGGCTCTGGCCTGATGAATGGCTGAATTTAACTCAAAGGCTGTTTCCTTTCAGATGTAACCCGGGCTGGGAGGGAACTTTCACAACCTCATAGTAGGAAAAAGGGACTATGGGTTACTCCCACCAGCTCTGCACTACTTTGCTACAGAACAAGTCCCCTCTCTATGTAATACCTCCGGTATGAAGCGGCTGCTCTGGTCTTGCTTTCCAGCTGAGACTGCTGTATGAGTGTAACCCCATGGCCTTCGTCATGGAGAAGGCGGGGGGGCATGGCTACCACTGGGAAGGAGGCTGTGCTAGACATCGTTCCCACTGACATCCACCAGAGGGCGCCGGTGATCTTGGGGTCCCCGGACGACGTGCAGGAGTTCCTGGAGGTTTACAAGCAGCACTCTGCCAAGTGAGGGGCCGGCCGCGCCCACTCCGGAAGGAGTGTCCTCCACTCGGACCTTTCGTCTCACGTCGCGCTCCCCTGTTGTGGCAGCACATCCTGCGTCCCTAGAGAGTAGAAATAAAAAGCGTGGCTGCTTTCACCCTCAAATGCCGTGTAATGCCTGGTGCTACATAGCAAAATGCTGTCTGGATGATGTCGCTGGTGGGCAAGATGTATCCTGAGCAAATGGAGGAGAAATAAACACGGTCTTCCTTTTAGGAAAAGGTCTTCATTGCTTTGTGTCTAATGGTGGTGATGATAACAGCTCACGCATGTGTCTACCCTTAGATAGCTCGTGTAATCCTCACAATAACCTTATGGATTAGATACTGTGAAGAACCCATTTTCTAGATGACGAGACGGAGGACTGAGAGGTGAAGCAATGGGCGCCAGGCCTCCAGCCGGTGAGTGGCAGAGCTGCGGTAGGACCCCAGGCCATGGGAACCTGAGCTAACGTGTTGCTTCTCCCACGTGTCGTCCCACTCCAGTCTCGCTGGGCAGAGCTACCCTGCCCAGGCTGTCTGTGTCCCCCTAGAAAGGGGAGCGCTAGTAGCTCAGTGATGGCCCCTGTGCATAACCATCTGAGTCACAAGTGAAGGTTTATATTGGTACCCAATGGTGATTTAAAGCCTAATAATTTTTGAGATCTAGTTATCATAAGGGAAAGGAGTCATCAAAAGAACAGGATTTAAGAAAATAACAATTTGTCACAATCAACTGTGTTTCTCATTAAGCTCTCTATAGAAACAGTTTCTCCCTCAGCTAACTTGATTCTTTGTGGACCAGAGTCCAAGATTATGGCACGTTTTATATCAGATGTAGACACTGATAGAAAATGTGGCCTTTTATGAGCTCTAAATTTTAAAATGTATCTATCCATGCATTTCCACTTGGGAATTGAAAGCAGGTGTCTCTGTAAAGCCCGCCTCTTTCTCTGCAAATGCTCCCCATTCATTCCATGTTTTTCCAGAAGGCAACAGTTTGATCTTGAGCACTGGGTCAATATCTCCCCTACTCCAGCTGCAGGAGGCCCTCTCTGGAAAGTCCTCTGACTCACAGCACACCCTTTGATTCTTAACCTTCCTGTAGCTCAGCTGGCCTTCAGCTCTGAAAGCACTGAGGGAGATATGGCGGAGTCTGGGAGCCTTTTCCTATCATTGAGATCACTGGAGGGAAACAACACCCATTCTGGTGTCAGGATGAAACCGGGCAAAATACCAAAGACCCATTTCCTCTGCCTTTGTGTGTTCTGTGTGGTGTCTTTAGATTGAGCTGTTGGTTCATTTAACACAGCGCTTTCAACTGCTGCTTGTCTGCATTCTGCTGACACGTGCAAGGCTTTCTCTTTCTCTGAGAGAGACACACAGACCCAGAGAACAGCAGCACTGACAGCAGTTCTCCTCGGATGGTCCTTAGAATCTCAGTTGGACTTGACCTTGGAGTGTCTTGGCTGCCACACTTGGACAGATGAAGGTGAGGGCATTACACCCACTGAATGTCACATAGAGACATGGCAGGAATGCAGCAGGAATGGGGCCCATTGTCACACTGCTCCTAAAAGGTGGGTGGTCCTTCCTACTTTGCATCAAATCACAGAGGAGAGCAGTGTTCTCTGGCCAAGCCGGGGCTGGCTAGTGGGATTTTGCTAGTTTTTCAGCACCAGTATGAGCTGGATTTGTGAAGAGGCCCCACATTCCCTCCACCACCTGCAGCTGTGCGTTTTGCTCTTAGGGGCTCTGTACCCCTCACCTTCCAAATTAAGAACACAGTGGGGCTTCAAATCAAATTCTAGGTCAAAGCAAAGCAACCGAGAAGTTTGTTTCTCCACACTGGTGTGTTGCTGCTTGGTGCCCTTTGGCAAAAGCTAAGGAAGAATCCTCCAGTCTGACTTGAAGTGACCAGCAGCCCTGGCTCTGCCCCACGTGCAGGGGAGGCACAGCTCATGCCCCTCCTCAAGCAACATGGAGTCCAAGTCCCCAGAGTGACTGTGCCCTGGTCTTTACCTTCAGAATTGGGAGTAATTTCAAGATGCCCATAGGGGGTTGAATGGTATCCCCTGAAAGGACATGTCCACATCCAGGTCCCTGGGGTCTATGAATGTGACTTGATTGGGGAAAAGGGTCTTTTCAGATGTAAGTAGTTTAGAGAGTAGAGACGAAATCATCCTAGATTACCCAGGTTAAGGTGGGTCCTAAATCAAATGATATGTCCTCATAAGAAACACACACAACAGAAGGGCACATGAGGATAGAGGCAGAGCCTGGAGTGATGGGGCCACAAGCCAAGGAAACCAAGAAGTGGCCACCGTTAGTTGGAAGAGGCTAGGAAGGACTCTTTTCTAAAGCCTGCAGAGGGAGTGTGGCCCTACTGCCACCTTGATTTTGAACTTTTATCCTCTGGAACCATGTGAGAATACATTTTTCTTGTTTTTAAGCCATCCAGTTTGCGGTACTTGTTGTGGCAGCCCTAGGAAACACTTGCTAATCATGCACCTGAGGGATGTAATTCAGGTGTCACATGCATCAGAGCACAGATGACATCTCTTCCTTCACAGAGCTGTTCTCATCAAATGGGTCCTGCATAGGCATGGGCTGGTGATCAGATCTGAAGGAATAAACACAAGATGGTCCCACCCTTTCATTGAGATGCTACTTCTGGTTTCCCTGAAGGACTGAGGTGCTGCCACTGAGGTACAGATATCCTGGTGGCTTGCACAGCTGGGTGGTGAGGGCAGAGATGGTAATGAGTGGAGAGTGGCACCTTCTGCCCTCAGGGAGTCCCGGAAAGCTGCCAAGCAGGCATCTGGCACCAATGCTGACCTGGCACTGGGGTCAGGATGGCCTGAGGCAAAGTCCCACCTCTGCCCCTGCCTAGTTATGGGTATCTGGTAAAGACCAGCCACACTAGTTTCTCTTCCTGGACCCACAGGAAGACGACCTTCCCAGCCTCTCTTGCATTAAGTGAGGGCCATGGGTTTTGGTCAGCGGGGTCTGGGTGGAAATGATAGGTCTACAGACATTCTAGGCTGACTCCCAGTCCCAGTCCTGGGTCCTCTCTCTTCCCACCATGCCATCTGTGAAGCTGTGTATTTCAATGACAGGGTCATAATAGGGCAGGAACCTAGAGGCTGAGCCACCACCCTCTTGACCTCAGCCTGGGATGGGGAGGAGAAGCAAACCTTCCCTGTACCTAGGGACTGGGATTTCAGACTTACTTGTTACTGCAGCATAACCTGGGCTGTCCTGACTAGGATAGACTGAGCTTGGCAACATTTATAAAATCTCTATGAGCCTCTGTTTCTTCATTTGTGAAATGGTCATTGTAATACCTATTGTTGTAGTCAAGGCCATTTTCACTGTAGTAATAGAAACTCTTTCATTCTGGATGAATCAGGAAGAGGATGTGTTGGAAAGCTTCAAGGGGATCTCATGAAATCCAGTACCCACTGCTTGCCCAGCCCCAAGGGCCCATCTCCCTAGTTCCTGCATCATCCTATTCATGGACACATCTCTCATGTTATGGGCCTAGAAGAAAAAAATCTGATTGGCTCAGCTGGTGCCAAGTGTCTATCCCTGGTCCAATCAGCTGCAGCCAGAGACCAGGTCATATGAGACCAATGTG